AGACACAAAGCATAATCTTGCATGGGTGCATAGGCGGTCTTGCGGTGTGAGGGACAGCATCCTGAGGTGACAACCAATGTCTGGAACGCTTGGGAGTTTCGTACAGAACCCACTTTTCATCACTGGTAAGCAATCGATTGAATAAGGATGCGGTACGGTGACGAGAAAGCAGCAATACGCAGACTGCCACTCGTTGTCCCTTGTGGACCTCCAACTGCGTTTGCGGAACCCACTTGCTCAGTTTGTACGTCTTACCTAGGCGGTGCAGGTGAAGTCTAACTGTTTCATCGGAAACGTTGAACTGTCTTGCAAGTTCACCACACGTTAGAATACTTTCGTCTGTTCATACAGACATCCTCAGGAAAAAACAAGACCAAAATCTATTCCATACCTGAAGATATGAACAGACGGAAGCTTGTAAAAATAATAAGAACTCATGCAACAGAAATTTATAGAAACAAGGATCTTTTCATTCATAAACAGGTTCGGGGTTTTTGTATATTATTTGAATTGTTCGCGACGATGGATTTCTCGCCAATTAAATCATTAACCTTTGTATTTGTTTTTTGTATGAATAGTTCATGAATATATATATATATATATATATATATATATATATATATATATATATATATATATATATATGTAGGCTATAGAATCTGCTCTATCGCTACTACCAAGGAAAGTGGCTTGGACTGACCTTTACAGCTAGGACTCGCCATGCCACTTAGTAGGAAACCACCTACGTTCTCTCCGTATTCCATCGGAGAGAAGTAAGTTCCACTCAAATAGCTTTATTCCTGCGAATCACTGCCATGTGTAACAGATTCCGATGAAGATGTTTACCCCGATCACAACAATCTTAACCTGTTCGAGTTTAGAGTTAATCGTTATCTTTCCCTCTAATCCATATAAAATACCCCTTAATCTCACTCTATAACTCGTGTGACCCTCGGGGCTTGTACAGGGTGAACCATTTTGTAATATCTATCTATCTATCTATCTATCTATCTATCTATCTATCTATATATATATATATATATATATATATATATACAAATCCAGTGTCATTTCATTAATATCGGAAGAAACCCTCCTTGATGGACCATGTCTTCCGGGAATGTAGCCGTACTCACCACGTTGTGGGTTGGTGTTCCATTTACCTGACCAAGATTATTGGGGGAACCGGTTCAGTCGCCAACCACTCGATCACTCAGGTTTTGCATTCAGAGACCTAGAGTCCAATCAGAGGCTATAGGACCGAGTTTTACCTGCTAATTGTACTGAAGAAATGGATCCATACATTAATCAAGGGTATTTGCACGTAAGTGAATATAACGAACTACACTGAAATTCGAACCCGGTTCTCCGAGACATTATCTATTACTACATATGTTTTCATGTCTACCTGATATATATATATATATATATATATATATATATATATATATATATATATATATATATATATATATATATATATATATATATATATAATTCTAGGACCATTTTCAAGTTATTCAAGATATTCGTGTTTTCCTGATATATATATATATATATATATATATATATATATATATATATATATGTGTGTGTGTGTGTGTTTTGTGTGTGTGTGTGTGTGTGTGAAAAGTGTATATAAATATAAATAAATATATATATATGTATAATTATTTATATATCATATACGCAGTACTTATTAAGCTCAATATCAGAGATAGAGTTAACATATTTCGTTGGATAGATGTGATTTGTGACCTGGGTTTCACGCTTTAGCGATCGTCAGTTTGTCTGACGATCACTAAAGCAATGAAACCCAGGGTCACAAAACTCATCTATTCAACAAATATATATATATATATATATATATATATATATATATATATATATATATATATATATATATATGATTTTTCCCGTCGAATTCGACGTATGAGGGTCCAAGCAGATCAGTTCCTAGGAAACCGACAGCCCGACAACAGCACATGAGATTTGATTATAATGGTGAAGGTTTCGTGCAGCACCATCCACACTTTTAGTTGTCCTTCTCCTAGACCAGTTGCAATCGAAGGCTATAGAACCCAGTCTGTCTTGCTATTTACCCACAGCTGGAGGGAGAAGAAGAGGATTCACACCTTTCCCAAAGGCATTAGTACATAAGTGAATGTAATGGATTCGACGGGCCGTATTAAACATATGTAAATTAACGACGTGAGGAAGTGAGGGGGGAGAGAGAAGACATGAGTGAGTTAGATGTAATTTAATATTTCTATTCTTTCTTACTTAAAATTACTTGAGGGGGTCCAGACATTAACACATTTAATCGGTTAACTTAACGGGCTGTGGCGAAATAACTTATTACATGGAACTTTAAAAATGGTCTGTTTTTTTATTTAAATTATATATATATATATATATATATATATATATATATATATATATATATATATATATATAGTGTAATGGTTAGCAAGCTTGTCTCGTTAGAGCAATTACGACTGAGAAGTGATTTAGATTCTCACTGATTGTGCCTTAATGTCGGCCTTGTGCCAAATCCAAGCTATTCTTGGAAAATCACTATATATATATATTCATTTCACCCCAAAGAAGGCGTGAATGCCACTGATACGCCTACGTAGGGGTTTATCAGGAAAGTGAAAGAGACGACTGAGAATAGGGAGCATTGAGGCAAGGACAAAAGATGAACGGGAGTCATAAAGACAGAAGGTGGCGATTGACGTTCCATTTAAATTTATGATGATTGTAGTTATCAGGGAAGCAAGAAATCAGAAAGGATCTTTACAGGTGGGAAGTGTAACAAAAGAAACTGCTGGAGCAGAAGTGGCGATTGCATTTACCTATTTCAATAAAGGGTGGGAGCAAGATTTCAATCTAGTAGCAATTTTAAATTTATGTAATTTAAGGGCAGCAAGGAAATTCGCGTCATAGCTGTTGCTATGAAAATTTTTTTAGGAATGACATAGTAAACATTTAGAGACCCCAATTTGAAAATATTGCATTTTTTTTTTGTTATCTTACTTATTAAAAAACGCATATCGAGTTATACTTATTATAAAACCCAGGTTGTTTGTGTGTCTGTGTGTGTGTGTGTGTGTGTGTTCGTTTATATATGGGATCGGATTTCCTACATTTTTCAACCGATTTCAACAAAACTTCACTTTTTTTTGGCAGGTAGTGTTTCTTATTGTCTTGCACACTTTTTTCTTTATTTTTAAATACATAATGCTTTAAAAATTCCATTTACAAGACAATTGTTTATAATAAAATTCTATTCAATCGGTAGATCCATAACGATTGAAAACAATGTTTTTGTTTGAGTTTGGGTTTGACTAATTAAGACATGCTTGTCCGTCAACCATAAACAATAATCTTTGTCAATTTTATTTTTCAGTCTTTATGATGGTCGATACTTGATCTATCTCTTACTGTTACATCCCCGGGCAACGCCGGGCTCTACTGCTAGTATGTAATAAAATCAATCTAGACAACGAGAAAAGTTATTGGTTACAAGCAAAGTAAGTGTTTTTGATCGCTGCCTTGAAGACTGTGTTTGAAAATTCTTTTGGGTAGATCAGCATTGACTTCTTGTGACCAAATTATCTTTCGTACTTCTTTCATCTGATATGAGAGGGATTTTCATTAGTGCAAACTTTCTTTTTTATAACATTCCATAGATTTTATTTTAAGCTGATGTCCGATGAATTTGGGTGGCTATTCCAAGTAGCCAAGAACATGATGCTAAGTCCGATAAGAAAGGCCACTATAGTTTTGATACATGACTCGGCTCTTGGCCATAAAACTTTACTTATCAGTGTTTTTTTTTTGCAGAATATTCTAGAGGTTGATAAACCGTAAAAATCAAATCAATCAAAACAAACAAACAAAAAAAATAGATGGAATCGATTGCCATCAATTTTTATCATGAAACAGATTTCATTTTCATCAATAATATTTAAGGTATCTTTTCACATGGTTTGCGCGAAAAAGTGATTTCCACTTCCAGATGAAGCTGTTCCAAACGTCAACCCTTTCCACATCTCATGGCTTTAAAATTAGCGTCGATTTAGGGGGCAGCAATACATAGCGTCAGTTGTGCGTCTTCGATGACATAACTTGACGGGGGCCTATTTCTCTTCATGCTAGATTTGAATGTAACGCCACCATATCTAAGCTTCTGTTTCAATTTTAGATAACCATTTTAACTTCCAACCGCATGGCTGATGCTATCCTCCAGGGCCAAAGTTCAGAACTCAAAAAAAAAGCCATTTGGAAGACCTCGAAGCGCTCGAACTCTTGAAAATCTCAACGCTTTGATCATCTGTCTATATCCCTGAGATGAGGTATTATGATTACTTACACTATTTACATTATTCAGACTGTTATCCTCATTTTCATTGTCATATTCGCAACGTTTCGACCGATGTACGCTCCGGCCTTCTTATTTTTTTTTTTTTACAATATAAGCTCTGGTAAAAATATGCAATAATTTTAACGAAAAAATTGTAATATGAGTACTGGTAAAAAAACAAAAGAAAAAACGGTTACTGAGACATTAGCTTTATAATCCAAGAAATTTATACACAAATGTCTTGAGGGTCACATGGTCCAGTAAATAAAGACGTTGGTTAGTGGTAAACCAAAAAACTTATTGAGTTAAACGAAATTTACAGAGACACGTGGCACGTGCACGAAATAAAAGGTTCGAATCGAAATTCCAATTACCCGAAGAAGGCCGGAGCGTAGACACGGCTTTAATCATCGTCTACAACCGTGTACGGCAAAAAGAAGCCGCCATTTAAAGGATGCCATTTTAAAAAGGAAATGAATAAAAACTCTAGCTCTTTGTTTAAATAGCAGTGAAATAATATTAATTTTAACAGTGACCTTTGTCAAGCTTTAAAATGTGGGAGGTATTTCTACCGTACACTGTATAAGTGAAACTTCCACAAATTTAAATAAATGGCAGATGCTAACGTGTA